ACAGAGTAGAGACATACAGAGACGTAACTAGTGTACCCACCTTTTTTGTGCGCATGCTCGGCAAGTTACTAGATGCATGCATCTGATTGGATGACGATCCGATGACGACTCACTTTAAACTTGCTGAGCACGCGCAGTTGATCATTTTTCGCCCGGTCGCCTGAAAAAAAGTGGGTACATGATAACGTAATCTTCCGCAGTGTTTACAACGGTCAGTTACGTCTCTGTATGTCTTATCTACTCTGTGCCGCGGTCATCCAGTTGCGACAGACAGGTAGCATCAGGTCACAGAGTAGAGACATACAGAGACGTAACTAGTGTACCCACTTTTTTGTGCGCATGCTCGGCAAGTTACTAGATGCATGCATTTGATTGGATGACGACCTGATGACGACTCACTTTAAACTTGCTGAGCACGCGCAGTTGATCATTTTTCGCCCGGTCGTCTGAAAAAAAAGTGGGTACATGATAACGTAATCTTCCGCAGTGTTTACAACGGTCAGTTACGTCTCTGTATGTCTTATCTACTCTGTGATCAGGTTTGTCGCGGCTTGACGTATTCATCAGGGCTGACGCAACTTGTCATCAGCTTGCGGCGGCCAGGTAAATTCCGCAACTTGCAGCAAGTCTGAGAGATTTCTGGCCGTGTAGTGAAGTCGTTAGTTCCAACGCCGTTAGGAAAATATTTTCGTTTGATGATTGTCTTGTCTACGGTTTGGTGTGTATATGCGTATCACTAAAAAAAATCATAATAATTTGAAAAAAAATTTTTTGCTCCCCCCCCCTCCCCGCTCGCCAACATTTTTGGGAAAAATACGCTAAAATTGGGAAAATATAGCACCGTGGTAATTTCAGACCGAAAATAGTAATTTTTGAAACCGGATGTGGTAATTTGCCCTGAAAAAACCTGGTCACACTGCGTGGCAAGTTGAGTATGGATGCTCCCCCTTAACGATGCTTAATGGCGCTTGTATAGGAGAGAACAACATTTTTCAGAAAACAATGAATAAAAGGCAATGAATGCTTACCTGGGATTTTCAATCGCTATCTTCCCTGTGAATGTTTCCTGACAATATAAACTCTTCAAACGCTATCGCATTTGTTTTTTGGCGAAAACAAAATATATTTTTGCACTGGAAGATTTCTCGAAGACGACGTAGGGTCAATTAGACGAAGAAGCATGATATATAATTGCCAAACAGTTACATTTTGGTTTAACGTAGACATCTCAAGCAAAACGAGCTTCTTCGTTGATTTTAAACTTGTTTTCTTGTTTATTTTTCACTAATTTTGATTTTTGAATAAAATTCCCGCCTATTTCAGGCTATTTGCAAAATGTGAGCCCACAATCATGTTAGAAATGCTTGTAAGCGGTCGTTAATCACTCTTTACTTTATGTAATTTTATTTAATTTTACCGTTTAACCACCCCACCTTGTTAATTTAATCCCGTGTTTAACAGTTGTAACATTACCTTTAACTTTGGAAAATAAAGTATTTATTGATTTCTCGAATATTTGAGTTTTTATTAACAAACATTTTGTTCAGATTAACAAACATTTTGTTAAAGAATGCTCTATAATGGTACGTGTACCTTTATCATAAAGGTACATGCATGTACAGTAGTCTATATATGAATTTTAAATCAGCACACACCGATCTACTCTTTTATAGACTTTATAGACTAATTGTTTCAAAAATTTTACTTAAAATTGATAAAACTGCATGATATCGGTCGATAATCGGCGTGATTTTTAGCTATTTTATTAAAAGCTTGTCAGGGAATATGCCATGTGAAGAAGAATCATTATGAATTATTTTAGAAAGACAGGGGAGATATTATTGTTGAGTATTTTCAAAAGATAAATGGGTATATGCTATTTGCTGCGCACAATTAAGGGACGAAATAACTGACGAAATCTCAAATTCGCAAACGAAATAAAACGAATTACCATAATCACCATTGACTTTGATTTTGCGACACAAGCTCGTGCTATTCATTAAAATTACATGCATTTGTTAAATTACACCTACTCTGAACTTAATTGAATCAACCGTGATCGAATTGATATCGGCATCTTCATCAGCAACTAGATCCGTAAAACAAACTTAGCCCCCTATCCTAGTATTTTTGTTATCTCCCAAAATCTGAGTGACACGTGACCAGCCTGGAGCAGGGTTCCTGTAACAGGCACGACAAATTGACGACCAACACCAGGCACGCAATGCAGCAACAAACCTTTAATTTATAAGGACCACCAACGAGCATACAATGAATTCTTTGTCAAATTTATTCAACAGCAGTGATGACGTCAAGTGAAACCGTTTTTAACGAATATGCTGGTGATTAGTGAAAACTGAAGACACTTTATCCGAGTAATATTTATTATTCATTCAAATTAATTAAATAAATATAACTAAATACAGCA